GACACAGCAGAAGAAATGACTAATAATTTGGAAATCAGGTAAAAACATTTTCAAAACTAAAGCACAGCATTAGAGATGCAGCTCAGTGGTCAAATATTTGCCTATGGTATGAGATCCAGGTTTTAATCCCCAACACCAAAATAAGAAACCTAAAACACACAGAAAAAAGTAAAATGGAAAATATGTGAAAAACTGTTAAGAGATATGTGTGATACATAAGAAGATATAAAGAGATAAGACACAGAAGAGAGAAAGAATGAAACAGTAAAAGTGTCTGAAGAGATAGGCACAAACTGATGGAAGATATCAATGCACAAACGTAAAACTCACTAAGAACCCAAAATGGGATTAACAGTAAATAAGCAACAAAAAATAATCAACACTGCCACACCCAGGGACATCACAGAAACACTGGTGAAAACTAAAGACAAGAAGAAACCCTAAAAGCAGACAGAGGAAAACATTCTTGCCTTCAAAAGAGTCAGATGATGGCTAATTGGTCAACAGCAATGATGGAATTCTTAAGACAACTGAACAATGTTTTAAAGTACTGGGGAAAACTGCAAATACATCATTCTATGCTCCACAAAAGTATTCCAACATAAAGGTAAAATTAAGACTACCAGGGAAGCAGAAATAGGATCTTTCACCAGCAAACTTTGAGTGAAAAAGAAAAATGTTAATGGAGTTGAACTGACAGAAGAAAAGAAGCCCAGATGAAAGCAAGTATTATAATACAGGAAAAAGTAAAGGGCAATAGCAAAAACTAAACATGTTGGTAAGTGGGAATGAATACTGATTTTAAAAACTGTTTAAAGCCAGGCATGGAAGTGCATGCTTGTAATCCAAGCGTACTGAGAGGCTGAAGCAGGAGGATCACAGGTTTGACCCCAGCCTGAGCAACTTAGCAAGATCCTGTCTCAAAATAACAAATAAGAAGGGCTGTAGATTTTGCTGAGTTAGGAGGCCCTAGGTTCAATTTCCAGTATGGAAGGAAAGAAGGAAGGAAGCGGGGAGGGAGGATGTGGGTTTTAAAAATGCAGTTTTAAATATGGTTTTAAAAAAATATGTAGTGGGTTTTAAAAATCTGTGGACTTCAAATGAATGATAACAATAATACAAAAAGAGCGAGGGAATACATAGAATTAAAATGCTTCAACGTACCTTATTATCCAGCTTTGTATTTACTCAAAAGAAGTTAAAACATATCCACAAAATGACTTGTACAGAAATACACCTTCAGAGAAGCATGACAGGTAATAGCCAGAAACTTGAAACAACTCAAAGGTCCAGCTGTAGGTGAACTGATAAATTATAGCATATTTATATACTGGAATACTACTTAATAATAAAAATGAAGGAATCACTACAAACTAAAAACTATGGATGAATCTTACAGTAATGAGCATAAGAAGCCAGATTCAAAGGATATACAACTCCACTAAAATGATGTTCTAGCCAAGCAGAATCGCACTGTGATGTTAAAAGTTAGGACAAGGATGATCTGGGGGCATCGGGGACCGGGAAAGGAAAGGGAACTTCTCTGCGGGGTTGGCAAGACTCTGCTTCCTGATATGGCTGATTACAAGGATGTATTTACTTTGGGGGAGTTCATCAAGTTCCACACTTACTGTTGTGCATTTTTCAATACGTATTTCTTAAAAATAAATTTTAAAATATATTTGATCATACAAAAAGTTATAAAAGAATAACAAGACTTAGCCACCACTGATATCAAGAAACAAAACAGTCCCAAAATAGTTGCTTGTGCAAATAATGATCACACTCTACCCACCCCAGCAGACAGATAATCACTCTCCTGAATTTGACACCATCACTCCTCTACATGATTTTATACTCTTATATCTTACATAAGCTCCACTAAGCAACGTATAGAACTGTTTTGCATGTTTTGAAACTATATATAAAAGGTAACTTGACTTCTATTTTTAAAAGAGAACTTTCTAGGATGAAAACATCATATATCTTGGCTCAGTAGTGGTAACACAGACTGAATAGGACATTTAAGATTTGTGTATTTTGGTATATCTAAACGTTATCTCACTTTAAAAACATCTTAAATGGACCATTCTAGTACCTTCACAGGGAACGGACGGAGGAGGGGGGCACAAGTCGAGCGAGGAAGGCCAGTTCAAACTTTGCAGGAGGCCTGGCAACTACTAAACTCATTTCTGAGAAGTAAGAAGGGAAAGACAGGTTGCAGACACTGACTCTGAAGAAGCTTAAATGTGAAGCAGAGCACTGACTGGAGAAAGGAGGCCAAAAGAAAAGGCTTCTTCAAGACAGAAGTTTGCAGTTGACCTACTACAGAGGAAAAGCTGGACACAGAGCAGAGATGAGGAATCGATATGGGAACAACATTCTTGAGAAGGTGAGGGGATGGAATGTAAAGTTCGGGTGGTTTGGTCCTCACTTGGACACAATGTCACCTTGCTTTTTAACTGAAAAGAAACAAAAAGAAGAGCATAATTCAGGAAAGACCGGTTAGTGGTGGAAAGATAAGGAGTTCCCATCCAATGGTTACCACTTTTTCAATGAATATGAATCATTACATGAAAAGGGTGGGAGGTGGGAGATTTTAAGCCTGTGAAGAACAATACTGCTTTGCATTAGAAAAGGCTAGGAAAAACTGAAGTCTTAGAGAGAGTGGTTAAGAAAAAAATCAGAGGTTTCATTTGGGGCACAATGGATATGCAAACTTTCACAATACAGCAGAATAAACTTAAAAACAAGAATGCTGTCATTCAGCTTTTATTGTGCTGCGCAAAGTACACTGTAACCTATATTAGGTCCTCAAGAGGGAATGAATACGGGAATGAATGAAGATTAAATCCTTTCATGTTTTAATATCGTATTTTATATCATCTGGTATGGCCTGCATTAGAACTGAAGGAAACATTCTTTTTGGAAATAATTCACCTTGGATATCAAATACATTTCTCTTTTTTAATTTTGCATGTTCTTAGAAGAATTAACCTGGTTTTTTTTTTTCAGTTTTATCAACTCTTCATTGTATACAAAGAAATGATATGCTGACCTTCTAAAATTATTTTTAGGCGGAAGTCATCATGGGGCAATTCTCATCAGAAAAAAATGAGAAAAAAATCTACATGCTTATATTACCATAATTTGCTACAATCATAAGGATATATATAGTTAAGGAAGAAATCAGAACCTCTTGGCAAGAGGAATTAACCTCTTCTCTGTACTCAGGACATTCTTGCCAGTGCCAGATCACACCTGCACACTCAGTGAGCAATGACTTCAGTTCAGGTACAGGGTTCACAGGGTGACCTCACACGGACCTGAATGTGCCCAGAAGAACAAGAGCACTGTTTGTCTTACGAGACATGTTAGCACAGTGTGCTACTCATTTTTCATTTATCAATTATTACATGGAAAAATTCACTACTTGGGGCATAAATTGTCATTTGTTTTATTACATTGAGTTCCATTTACAAGGCCTCCATTCATGAGGAAGCACTGTTTTGGTTGGTTGAGCAGTCAGATCTCTGTGCTTACGATTTATGTATATACTTATTATGTACACTGAGTGCACTCTCCTAATTCCTGCTGCCACAGCCAGACTGTAAGTGCATATGTTTTTGTCATTCTTGACTACAGTAATTCAGAACTTCAGCTGCCAAGTTTGGTGCCAATATTCCCACATAGGCAGCTCATGCTCCATTCTTAAAATAATTCCTTATTTGCTGTCAGAAGCTCGGGAAATATAAAATGGCAGGATCGACCTTTTTTTTTTAAATCTAAAGCTATAACTAAATAAACTACAATGTTTTTCTTTTTTCTTCTTGAAAATAATTCCTTTCCTATCTTCTCTATTTAATAATTATAAACCCTCAACAAACAGTAAAACAGCAAAACGTTTTACATATCAACATACCACAAAGAGTAGTGTTTTCAAGGAGGAAAATCTCAGTTACATGCTGGACCATTCTTTGAGGCAGTCATTTTAAATGTGAGGTATCGATTGTTTTTCTTATGTTGAAAGGTCTATATTCTTAGAGGTTTTATAGGCAGACTAAGAAAAAAAGCAACGTTTATCTGTACCATTAACTCCCATAGGATATTAATCTGTGCTGGTTTAAAACAGCAAAATTCTGGGTGTGAATACTGCGGTTTCATACTTCAGTTTCACGTGAAACAGAATTGTTCTGAGCTTGAAAAGCATTGAGACCAGACTTCAAGTTTTTGGCTGCGTAGTATTTCTGGGGTCAAACTCTTAGCTTCATTTCAAAATCCTATAATGTCAGAGTCTAAAGAAACCAGGAGGTCTCCCAGTTCAACATGACACTCAAAGCTGCAATTTTTCTCCAGCACCCCTGTTTTGATTATTCCATTGAGGGAGTTCCCAAGAGACGGTTCGCAAGGGATATGATGCAGAAAACTAGAACCTACCTTTTTGACAAGGAGTAAGGATCCAATCAAGGAGCTGACAAGAAAGCAACAGCGTTGCCAAAGAGTGAAATCAGACTCTCACAAGAACGGGATTCACAATTGGCAATCACAACAACAAAACGTTTAAGACAGGTGGACCCCTACTCCTGGAACCATCCAAGGTCCTTTCATTGGCCTAGAGAGTTGCTCCTACAATCCGAAGCGAGTTTTTCAACTGGTTTATTAAAGCAAGGGTTTACCAAGTAAAAAGCATCAGATCTCTTCTGAAAACTAAGCCAAGGAACCCCCTGGTGGAACTGCTAATGCTTAAAATACTCTAACTTTGGTCTTAAAATTATTACTACAGTAAATGAGAACATTTCGGGATTTTTTTTTTAAGATGCCTGTACATAGGCTATCTGTCATTAAAGTTGTAGGGTTGCTGCGTGTGGGATTGTATTTTAAGCTCAGCCCTTTCTCCCGCCGTGAAGTCAGCCTTGATCTTCCCAGCACAGGCGAGAGCACAAGGCTGAGCGGCCAGAACACCCGCGGCCAGACCCGGGACGGGGCGGCCGGGCCCTTACCTGTCAATGCTGATCACGCACAGAGTCATGATCGAGGCGGTGCAGCACATGACGTCCATGGCGATGAAGACGTTGCAGAAGAAGTGACCAAAGATCCACTTGCCCCCGATGAGGTCGGTGACGCTGACGAAGGGCATGACCGCCACGGCCACGGAGAGGTCTGCCAGCGCTAGAGACACGATCAGGTAGTTGGAGGGCTGGCGGAGCTTCTTGACGAAGCACACGGAGATTACCACCAGGCAGTTGCCCGCGATCGTCAGCAGCGTGATGAGCGTCAGGATGGAGCCGATCACAACTTTCTCGGCTCTGCCGTAGTTGATCTGCTCTCCGCAGCCGGAGACATTGTCCGGGGTCCCGTCCCAGGTGGGCGAGGGGCTGGCCGTCACCTCGGGGACCCCGTTCAGCAGGTGCGGCGTCCAGGAGATGACGACCGGATCGGCGCCACCGTCGGGGCTCAGGTCCGGCAGCCCGCGCTCGGGCAGGAGGATGGAGCGGAGGTGCCCGTACAGGTCCGGGCGGCCGCTGCTGTTAACGTCCATCATCATCGCGCCGCTGTGCGCCGAAGCCCATGGAGCCGGC